GATTCATGCTACTATAGTTTTGTAAGTGTCATTGTTATTGCTTTATATTGCCGTTATAGTTGCTATATTCTTGTAAACCGTGGGATCTTCATCTAATAGTGATTTAATATTACGTTATAGATATTTGGTTATTGTAAGAAATATATTTAAATACATTGTTTCTAAATCGTGATTTGAAATTATAACGAAGTAAAGAAAAAAAAGTATATATATAACATGCGGTGCGGTGCGGTTTGAACCGCGGTTTTATAAATACAAACCGCAAACCACACCGCATAGTGTGGTTTGATAAAATGATGAACCGCAAACCGCACCACGAAATTCTAAACCGCATTATGCGGTGCGGATTGGTGCGGTGCGGGCGGTTTGTACGGTTTGTGCGGTTTTTTGCACACCCCTAGTTGGGGGGGATTATCATAGTAGTTGGAATTGAATCTATGTTCTATTCTTTGATTCTGTGGCCCTAAATCATTCCACAAACCATAAAAACGTGTGGTGGTAATTGAGAAAGTTTATTTGTCCCATCTTGACTTCGATGACCATAGATGAAGTCTTTCTTTGGTTTGTGGGTGCATCAATGTTAATCAGCCATAAATACAACAAAGTGGTCAGTAAACCGACCTTAATCTATACGTCACATTAATGGCTGTCTTGAAAGACCGGCAAACACATAAAGATAGCCATTTGACTAAAATCAATACATGATAACGATGGTAGATGCATCAAACATTGTATTTGGATCGACTCATGCACCAACACCAATAATGCGATGACAAATAAAGGCCCTATAGGGGAAATTAACCATCGTCTTATGGTAATTATAACCATACCGAGTCTTCCAGTTAATATAAAGTCAGTCAACTACACATATTGGGCCATGATAGTGATGATTCCATTGGAACTTAAGAAACACGACAGGAATTTTGCAATATATACATGCAGTAGGTATGGTACGTTTTCTTAAAAATCTATCCAGCTAATTAATGTTTGAGGAAGGACATAAGTCATTCGTAAAATAGTAAATCCGAGTTTTCAGTCTGACTGTTTCCTCACATCGCTTCTGCTCCATACCCTACTCAGTTTTCCATCTTCCGTTCAGTAACTACATTTTTAGTTTCTTTTTTGTTGCTCTATTCAACACAATGAACTTGAAGTAGACAATTAACATGCGTTGCAAATTTTTTAAGAACATTGATAATATATATATATATATATCGATCTTTGTTTGTAGGGAGTATCCATACATACACTTAACTTATGGACGGATGCATCATCAAGGCTGCTTCTGCTTTTTTACTTGGATTGCTGATTTCAGCCTTAAGTAACAGAAACAGTTTCTGTGATGGGAAGTTCGAGGGTTCATGCAGGGAGAGAGAGAAACATGCACTTCTAAAGTTCAAGAGTGATCTAATAGATCCTTCAGGAAGGCTTTCTTCTTGGGTTGTTGATCACAAAGATTGCTGTCAGTGGGTGGGAGTTACGTGCAACAACTCCACCGGCCATGTTCATGAGCTTCATTTACAGAATCCAGATGCAGAGAGTGGATGGCTTCCTTACTTTGGCTATGAAAAGTCAGGATTAAGTGGGAAGATAAACCCTTCTCTTCTCGTTTTGAAAAGGTTAAGTCATTTGGACTTGAGCTACAACAATTTCAAAGGACTTCAAATTCCAGATTTTATTATTTCTCTCACGCATCTACAAGTTCTTGACTTGTCTGAGCTGGTTTCGGAGGGTTGATTCCTCAACAACTTGGTAACCTTTCTAGTTTAGTATCTCTTCGTCTTAAAGGACGTGATGCTTATACAAGCACCTTACGTGTTCAAGATCTTCATTGGCTCTCCAACCTTCGCTTGCTTAAACATCTCGATTTGAGCTTTGTTAATCTTAGCAATGCATCGGATTGGGTAGAGAAGGTGAATATGGTTGGGTCTCTTGAAGAATTGTACTTGGCTGGTTGTAATCTTGATTCCCATACTTCGCTTCTTACTAATAGTAATAATTTCACTTCCCTTTCCACACTCGATCTTTCTCACAACAAATTCGAACCATCCTTACCTCGCTGGATTCTCAGTATCACCACCCTGGATTCACTTTCTTTATGTCAAATTGGTATTTCTGGACCAGTCCCATTCGGTCTAAGGAACATGAGCAATCTTCAAAATCTTGACCTCTCTTCAAACCTATTGGATTCTAGTATACCTAAATGGTTTGGAAATTTCTCATCTTTAATTTCGTTAGATTTGTCGAACAACGAGTTGAATGGAAGTCTTCCCGAAAGCATTGGTCACCTTTCCATGTTAGAAAGCTTTTTCATTTCCAGTAATTTTCTGGAAGGAATCGTCTCAGAGGCGCATTTTTCCAATCTCGCAAACATGATTTATCTGTATGCATCAGACAATTCGTTGTCCATGCACGTGAGTCCAGATTGGAATCCAGTTTTCCAGCTTGAACAAATGGAATTAAGATCTTGGAAACTCGGCCCCAAGTTTCCTAGTTGGCTTCGATCTCAAAACAGGCTGTTGGACTTGGACTTATCATGTGGTCAAATAGCCGATAGTGTTCCTTATTGGTTTTGGGAGTTATCATCTCATTTTATGTACTTGAATCTTTCTCATAACCAGCTTCGTGGTGAGATACCAAACATAGCACCAACAGTAGGTGCTATTCACTCAGTGATGTACTTGAACTCGAACAAATTCAGTGGTTCATTGCCTTTATTCCCTCCAAACTTACGTGAGTTGGATGTTTCAAGGAATTCAATTTCGGGTAACATCTCAAGATTCTTATGTGACAAGCAATCACATGAGTTGAAAATCCTTCACCTAGGAGACAACTTATTCTCAGGGAAAATCCCAAATTGCTGGAACAATTGGCTGCAACTGGAAGTGCTAATGCTTGGAAACAATAATTTCACAGGGAGTATACCGATATCCATTGGACATCTACAAGGCTTACGCTCCTTACACCTACGCAACAATAGCTTCACAGGAGTCATCCCTTTGTCTTTGCAGAAATGCAAGAATTTAACTATGATCGATCTTAGCATAAATAATTTTGTGGGTAACATACCCACATGGATAGGGAAAATGCTTACCAAAGTTATGGTGTTGATCCTCCGTTCAAACAAGATCAGTAGTGATATACCTCATCAGCTCTGTGAACTTGTCTCCCTTCAAATCTTGGACCTCTCAAACAACAAGTTGACTGGAAAGATTCCGAAATGCATAAACAAGTTGAGTGCAATGACCAGAGTTAAATACTCAAACCACACAGCGATATCCTACGCTTATTATGGTGGAGAGATTGCAATTTTGGAGAATGCGTTTTTGGTAACGAAAGGATTGGAGTTCCAATATGACAGCATCCTTTATCTGATGACACTTATCGATCTCTCAAACAATGTTTTGTCAGGAGAGATACCAGAGGAACTAACAAGCTTAAAAGGGTTACGTGCGTTGAATCTATCAAAGAATCATCTGTCAGGAGTGATCCCAAAAAGTATTTCGAACATGGGACTAGTTGAATCACTTGATTTGTCAACCAATCAGCTATCTGGTAAAATTCCTGCAAGCATTGCAAGCTTGAGTTTCTTAAACTACTTCAATGTGTCGTTTAATGAGTTGTCTGGCCAAATTCCGATGAGCACTCAGCTCCAGAGCTTCGATGCTTCTTCATATGTGGGAAATAAACTATGTGGACCACCATTACAAAATGAATGCATCGAGAATACCACAGAAGCTGAACACCAAGATGACAATGATGATGCAAAGGAATCTGAGAAGTTCTACATATGCATGATAATTGGTTTCGTAGTGGGCTTTTGGGGATTGATTAGTCCCTTACTCTACAGCCCCTCATGGAGACGCACATACTTTAGATCTCTAGATGCTAATTGGTGTCGAGTTTATGTTTATGTTAGGAGATGGTTTTGGTGCTGCTAGATTAATTTCGTTATACATGTATTTATAATATATTGTACTAGTATCAATGTTGTTAAGATCTATATCCTATATAAGATCGTTGTTCGCTTTGCATGATCGTGATCCTAAGATCAAAGCAGGTCATAAGATCTGACCAAAAGCAGTTTAACACGTGAAATGTACATTTTCATCTATGAGCTAACCACTCAGTGAACAATAAATAGTTTAAAACTTAAAAAATACATCTTCAATATATCTCTTAACAATAAACAATTCAAATAAGTCTTATAAACAATTCAAAATAAGTCTTATAGGATACATATTTGATCCATTTAGTTAGCCCATAATAATAATAATATATAATAATAATAATCTCATGATCATACCCAAAGATAATCCAAATACGATCATGATCGATTTACCTAGGTGGGATCTTGTTAGTGTATCACATATTAGTGTCATAATATAAGTGACTATATATATTGGAGTCCATCATCTCTCCTTAAAGACTCTTTTGGAGAGTTAATATGTGACTTCATATATATCTTCTATAATATGATATAGTCGGCGTCTAACACCCTCATGGCAGGATACATCCCTATACATCCTCATTAAGCCTTTGTTCCGCGGGGGGGGGGGGGGGGGGGTGTATTGGTGCAACACAGTCATATAAGTGGCTATATGTTGAGTCTTTCATCTCTCCAGACGGGATCTTTTGGAGAGACAATGTTGTACTCCATATATATTCTACAGTTTCAAACACCCTTTGCATGCCCTTTTTAAGTACTTTAAAGGAATGGTTTCAACGGATTACGTGAAGGGGCATAAACCTTAATATAAAGAATTGAAACATAACCGAAAGCAACTGTAACATGATTCGATAAATAACCAAAAGTGCATAGCACATATGTGAATAAGAATTGGGAAAGCCAGTTTGAGCAATTTTGGTGGTTGCAGTTGTCTTGATAGCTTGAGTTGGAGTTGTCTTGACAACGTGAGTTGGAAATGAGGGAGTGGTTTTATTCAGGTTAGTACATGTTTGAGTTTGAGTTTGTATGTTTTGTATGAGGATGTAATTACGTTTTATTGGAGTTTTTCGTATACGAGCAACTTGGATGTGGTGTTTGTGGAACTTCATGAACAAATGTATGTTTGTTTCTTAATTAAAGACCTATAAATGATAGGTTTTTCGATGATATTATAATTCACCCTCCTATCATTTTGAACATTTTGCTTAAACTTTGGTTTTTAAAACATTGGTACCTTTACTTTTTGAAAACTTATTTTGAAAAGACATTTTAGATTGGTCAAAACATTTGATCCATACATGTGTGTTATTCATTATACTTTTGGAAAGTATTCATAAGAGTAAACATGTTGACGTGTAATTTCAAGTGTCTAAAAGAAGAGAAACAAAAGATTTAATCATTCAACGTTGGAAGGAAATTTTCCATTTTGATTTCTCTCATTTTTTTACCTAGGGTTTAGGTTTTCACCCTAATCCGAAATTCTAAGCTCATTCTATGTTTGTCGTGAGAGACATACCTAGCCAACAAAATGACACATTTATCTATTTCCAAGAGGTAGTGGCTCGTTGTAACACTCGATTTCTCAAATATTAATTTTAAGCTCTAATTTTGTGAATTTTGGGTGGCCACGACATGGTGATGAGGATTACCACAGTGTGGTAACCATTTTGTGATCGTGCATCTTTTAAGTCACCACGATGTGGTGGCATGCTTGCCACGACGTGGTGACGGCTGAATGCAAAACCCTATATTTTCGGGCCTTAAGCCCTATTTAAAGGAAGTGGTGGCTATTTAAAGGAAGTGGTGGCTAGGGTTTCCTCCACCCTCAACCTCCATCACCTGTAAAGTGCTCTTGATAAAACCCTAACCTCCTTGCAAGCTTTTGAGCTCAATTTTGGTGTCTTTGTGATTTTGGAACGAAGAAGGTGTTTCTAGTGAAAGAATCCAGTAGGCAACTCATCTCCATTATTTGTGCATCTTTTGGACTCTTTGTAAGTCCTCGAGTTTCCATCTTTTTTATTTCATTCCTTGTAGATCTAAGTTATGTCGCCTCTTTTGCTCCATGGTTGAAGTTTGGATGATTGGGAGAGATAAAGTTATCAACTTTATGGTTCATCAAGGCCCCTTGAGTGTTATATCTTCTGGATCTAAGAGTTGTTGGTGTTTTGAATGCCATGCATGAGATTTAGGCTATTTTCTTCCTTTTTGACCTAGTTTGAGTGGAGAACATGCATAGGTCATGCATGTCCATAAAGGTTGGATTTTTATGGACCTTCTAGGGTCCCAAATATGGTTAGATGTTCCAAATCTAAAGTGTTATAATGATTTAAGTCCATTCTTGAGATTGTGACCTTATTTCTCCCATTTTGACCTTGATGAATGAATGACATGCATTGGACATGTATGACCACAAAAGCAAGGATTTTTATGGTGCTAGGAGTGTTAGGAAGCTCTCTAGAAAGCATGAGTTTGGAACTTATTTGATTAAGGGCTTAATCCATTAAGTTGATTTTGTGCAGTTGCCACGACGTGGTGGCATGCTTGCCACGATGTGGTAGTTGGGCAAGACGTGTCTATTTTGTCAGGACGTGCCTACGGCATGGTACAAGGCTACCCACGACGTGGTAATGGGTTTTTCATCGACTGTTTCGTCGTTTAGCTGTCACGGCGTGGCCAGGGGTTGGCCACGACGTGGTGACCGTGGACTATTAACTTTTTGACATGGTTGACTTTTAGCCAAATTGGTAATTTGGAGAGTATACTGAGGGGTTAACCTTATTTAGTTCTTTAGGTGGTGTGTAGCGTCTGCCTTCCGACTGTACGAGTTGTAGTCTGTTCGACTTCGAGTGTAAGGTGAGTCTTCTCACTATACTATGTAGGATGTTAGTTATCTTTGTGACTCTTGCATGTATGTTGGGTGGGGCTTGTTATGTGTTGGGCGTGGCCTGTTATGTGAATTGGGTGGGGGACGTTATGTATGATGGGTGAGGCCCGATATGTGAGTTAGACGGGGCCCGTCATGCTAATTGGGCGGGACCCGTTATGTTTGCGGGTGGGGCCTGTATGGTTATGTGGTATTTTGGGGAACTCACTAAACTTTATGTTTACGGTTTTATGTTTAAATGTTTCAGGTATTTCTGGTTCCAAAGGGAAGGGCTTGGCTTCGTTACACTACATCCCCTGGAGTTTTATTTCCACAATATTGAATTATGATTTGACTATGATGTTTGAGAATACCTTACACTCCGATTGTCTTTTAAACAAATGATTGAATGGTTTGTTGGTTGAAAAATGAAAATTTTACATAGTATTTTTGGGACATTACACTCGTAATTTAACTAAACCTCTTGAATTAGGAAGTGGTTGTAGATAGATCTACCATTGAAGTACCGTACTTCCTGAAGCATATCATCTAATTCATGTATTAAGAAAATGTTTATGTCCATGTAGTCAATGTAGCCCACACCTCATCCATATAATGTCTTTCAAGGAATATGGTGAACATGTCTCCATGGTGAACCTTGAATGTACATAAATATGTAACCCCTCTGAAAAACTATATATATATATATATATATATATATATATATATATATATATATATATATATATGGTTAGGTT